CCCCCTGTACTCAGCACTGGTGAGGCCACACCTCGAGTACTGTGTTCAGTTTTGGGCCCCTCCCTCCAAGAAGGACATTGAGGTGCTGGAGCGTGTCCAGAGAAGGGCAATGAAGCTGGTGAAGGGCCTAGAGCACAAGTCTTACGAGGAGCAGCTGAGGGAGCTGGGGTTGTTTAGTCTGGAGAAGAGGAGGCTGAGGGGAGACCTTATTGCCCTCTACAACTACCTGAAAGGAGGGTGTAGCGAGGTGGGGGTTGGTCTCTTCTCCCAATTAACAAGCGATAGAACGAGAGGAAATGGCCTCAAGCTGTGCCAGGGCAGGTTTAGGTTGGATATTTGGAAAAACTTCTTCACCGAAAGGGCTGTCAGGCACTGGACCAGGCTGCCCAGGGAAGTGGTTGAGTCCCCATCCCTGGAGGGATTTAAAAGACGGGTAGATGTGGTGCTTAAGGACATGGTTTGGTGGTGGACTTGGCAGTGCTAAGTTAATGGTTGGACTCGATGATCTTAAGGGTCTTTTCCAACCTAAATGATTCTCTGATTCGAAGTAATTATTCATCAGTCAGTGTAAAAACTATTTGCAGCAATACTCTTTTTCTTAGTCTTAAGAGACATATGAAATTTTTTTTTCATTTCCAGATGTTGGACCTAATTTTTAAAAGCACCCCAGATAACCAAATCTAGGTTTTATCAACCCCATCAACCACCGTGTACCGGACTCCCAGTATGTCTGCTAAGCAGGCAGGCGTTATTTTATCTATTGCTTGACTAAACTGACTTGAGACTCTTGTGCCAAAAGTGGAGTTAAATCCCGACTCTGAATCCTTGTGCTTGTTAGGAGCTTCTGTTAGTGGAAGCCAGTTCTTTTTTTAATAGTGATTATGCCAATCTTCTTGAGTCTATATCCTGTGCCATAAGGTACGTTCCTATAAAAAGACCCCCTCTTACTTTTTAAAGTAGCTGGTGACATGCTCTCGTTCGTGCTGTAGTAACACATTCAGTGATGTGGGTACGTACCGCCAGTCTGGCTGGCCAAGGTGAAATTTCAGAGGCCTCTGTCTCCATGTTGCAGCAATGCCTGCTATCTGTTTCTCACTTCTGTTAGGTGCTGGGGAAGGAGGGAGGAATGTACTCCAATGCTAGCAAAGTTGTTTCTCCTCCATCAGGCCCCTCCTGCGTGCTCCCAATCCTGCACCCGCTTTCCAGAGGAGGCTGAGATGCTTTGCTGCAGCCTTCCCATCGAAACAGCATCCAGGGGCTGCCCTGACCCTCTGCCTGCCTGACCTCTCTGCCGGTGCCTCCCTGCACATGCAGGCATCCCTACAGGAGGGTTTGCTTTTCTCTCCCACAGACCAGTGTTTTGCAGACTGACTGTATGGCTGTTTTGCCCTTGGGTCATTTCAGGAAGATAAGTCCCAGCATCCCCCAAAGCACAGGTGCTTTTTGTAGGCTGAGGTGGCATTATGGGAAGTGGCATGGTGTGTTCTTCTCTGCTCATTAAGTAAGAGTTATCATGCCCCGGAGTAGCATCCTGAACCGTCAATCTCTGTAGATAGTGGGAAGAAGAATTTGTTTCTAAGCGTCACAACTCATGAGTTTTTGTTGGAGCAAAGGTGACCTTTAGCTGTGGCACCACAGTTTGCTCTTGGGTAATGTCTGAATTAATTTGTTCAGATGTTAACATCTGTGTGCTTTGAGTATCGGATGTTTCATTGTGTTGGGCCCTTTGTCTTCCTACCATGGTTGAATGAAAGGATGCTGTCTGTTTATGTTCCTTAAGATGTCTGAAGACTGTAATTTTTTTTTAAATTTTATTACAATGAAAACATTGTCAAGGGTCATTGTTAGCTTTCTTTTTAATGGTAGTTATCAGGAGGAATGGCTACAAGGTCAAGGAGCTGCGTCCCGTGGTGAACCAGCTCTCTGTTGCCCAGGAGCATCTCCTTTGCTGTCTGTGGATTATAGTTCTGAGACTGTTAAATTCTGTAGTAGTGTATCTGTGTTTTACAGATCTTCTGTGCTACGAGTTACTCCCTGCTCCTGATAAAAGGAAGGGGTGAAACTAGTATTATTACTGATAATACTGTGCCTTGAAATGTCTGCTTTCTAGTTGATAAAATGCATGAAAATACTGATCAATGATTGATAAATACTGTGATGCTTTGAAAAGTGAGATGAAAGATATCTGTGAGGTTCAGATCCTAGATAGCTGTATATCAGGAATGTTCAAAACATTACTGTATTTGTTCAGAGATGCGTTTTTAAGATCCACATATATCTGTCGGATGCTGTTGGTTATGGTAGAACATGAATGAAAATGCAAGAGCCTTCCCCAGATCACTTGATGTATGGACCCTTATTTAAGACTAAAAGCATCTTAACACTTTGTTAAAGTTTGGTAAGTTACGTAGGCAGTGTTCAGTTAAGTAATATGGAGAAATAAATTATTCCAAAATAAGAGTGGAGAAGAATGTTCATATATCAGTGTAAACTCTCATAAATGCAGTCTATTGGGTAAAATAAAACCAAATTAAATTACACTGAAAATATAGTTTCTGAAGTCATTCTTTCTCTTTTATTTTCCAGTATAAGTATAGAGACCTAACTGTACAGGAGACGACCAGTGTTATTACTCAGTACAAGGACCTCAAACCTGTCATGGATTCATATGGTTAGTCTATGCATGAGAAAATTTGTGTTACTGAATTGTTGATGGTTTAGATGTATTTCGTAGTTTTTGTGGGGAAAAAGGAGATTAAAACTAGAAAACATAATTTGAGTTTCTCCTTTTAATCTTTGACATCAGTACTTCCTTAGAAACGCAGACAGTTATTTTCTAAAATAACCTTTCTGTATTACTGAGTCTATCTAACCTGCCAAGAAGTATTGCATTTTTCACAGCTTAACTTGTAGTTAATCATTCGGTGATGTCATATCAGTTGGTGTCCTAAGATTGCTGGTATCTTACAAATTCAGCTTTGCTGTCATATAAAGATATTTTTAGAGTTCTATTTAGAAAGAACTGTAAATCAATGAACAAATACTTCATTAAACGTAATTGTGGCGGTCCTTAAGAGTGTGAAGAAAATGTAGTCAAGTATATAGAAAATTGGTATGAGGGGGTTTCTAATGCAAATTAACGATGACAATCACTGTTTGTTAGCTGTTTTAAAGGCTCTGACTAAATTCAAGTGCCTTAAATGAAGATGGTATCTAGGGTCAGCTCCAGAGGCTGAGGGCATGGTTTCACAAGACACAGTTAGCCAGCAGAGCTGCTGAGGTCATCCTTCTTCTGATCACCTTTTTTTAACTGTCACCTGTGGAATTCCTCTGTGAACTAATTTATATTGCTAATACATCATCAGAGACTTTCTAGGCTTCTGCTTTCTAAATTCTAAATCTGGATTCAGAAGTATTAAGAAGGGACATGGACAGGGAAAAGATAAATTAGTTTTAACTTGAATAGCTGCAAGCCAGCAGCTGTCACAGAAATAAAAATTCATCTGGTGACTGGAGAATCAAAAACAATAGTGAAAGGACTGCGGTTGGAATAGCAAGTTTGCATAATGACAGTGATCAGAATTCCAAATAGCTTTGAGCTGTAGCAAGAAGCCCGTTTGTGTTACCTAACTCTTTCTAAGCTGCCTTAGCACAGAACCACGTACAGATAATTGATACTATTTGGAGCAGTGAAATGAGCAACAAGAAGATGGTTACACTGCTGTTGAGATAATTTTCAAGTTTATATTAATAATTAAATATATACCCCCATTGAAGTCCCAACATGTTCTACCTGCCTTTGCAGAACATTAACACCAAAAGAATTGTACACAATAAGCTGCATTTGAAGTACGACTAGAAGCTTTCAGGTGAGATTAGGAAAATAAAAGCTTTATTACCAGAAGTTGATTTATTCAGCCAAGAATAATCTATTGGAATGAAGAGATGGGAAAACTAAATAGAGCAACTCAGTAAATAGAGGTTAGGGTTCCTGTGCAGTTTGTGAACTAAGACTAAGATGTGGCAGTGAGTCAAGTGCTATGCATTTCTTCCTCTTCAGTATATTATTGTTTGGTTAAATTACCTTTACTGATTATGTAATAAATGCCTATGGCCCAGTAATTTTCAGTATTCTTGCTGACCTGTTTGTTTGAAGGAAGCGTGAGGAATTCTTTGTAATCCCCAAATAACAGTTGTTTTTTAAATTAAGTTTGAGTTCAGATTATCTTTGCAGCAATTTGTATGATTTGCACTTTGTGTGATTCCAACGTGTTTTACTTGGTCTCTGAATGAGGAAACAGTTTTATTTGCAGTGAAGGTAGTTTGACAATAATTAGTCATTCATTTCTCAGAAATATGTTATTCATAAGAAATTACCTGATTGTAGACAATCATTTGCTAGTCCATAAATGTGCAAGAGCAGAACCTTTCAAGCTGAGTTTATATATGTGTAACATCTGAAAACTTATGCTAATAAATAGGTGGGGTATAACCTGAACAGAGATTAATGTAGCAAATATGTTTGTTTTAAAAATACTGGTTTTTCCCTTTCAGTTTTTAATGATGGCTCATCTAGGGAGTTGATGAGCCTCAGTGGAACCATTCCTGTGCCTTACAGAGGTATGCATTTATTATTATTATTATCATCACCACCATTATTTCCCAAATTACATGAAAAACTATTTATATTTGTCCTGGTTCAACTCCACTACTTCGGTGATCGCTATTTTCTTGAAATCTTTTACTTGTCTAAAGTATAATGTTTTAAAGAAATTGTTCCTTATTTTTGCTGTAGAATAAAATTTTAATGTTGAGCATTGCTTCTTCAGTCTTGTACAGCTCTGTAACATCTCTTTTCTTTCAGTACTGCACGTTGTTCAAGCGTCTCAATTGAATGAGGGTTGCAAACCATTTATTGCTGCAGCTAACGATAATTCACATTAGGGTCTAGTAATGTTGCATGGTAGAACAAACGAGATGTTGTATTAGTGGTAAATGATAATTGTAAATCAAAGTTAAATTGTTCTGAAAAACGTTGAGTTCATAGCCTTATGGTGACCTCTTTGTTGAATGCTATTAGTAGATTTTGGCTTCAGCTTCTAACTGTGCAGTTGAATTTACTGGGCTTAGGAGTTGTTTATGAATCTGGATACAAGAGGACAGTTAGAGAGTTGGAGTAACTTTTAAAATCTTTCAAAATATCTTTTCTAGGTAACACATACAATATCCCAATTTGCTTGTGGCTGCTGGACACCTACCCTTTCAACCCCCCAATTTGTTTTGTTAAACCCACTAGCTCAATGACAATAAAAACTGGGAAGCATGTTGATGCAAATGGAAAGATATACCTTCCTTATCTGCATGAATGGAAATACGTAAGTATCGGGAACTTGAAATCCTCAAATTGTTCCGTTCCAAATTCCTTTAGATAGTTGTATCATTTTAAACAAAAACCATAATCGTCTTTATTTGAGATCTTAAACCATTTTTTTAATGAAAACAACTGCTTATTATTTGTAATGTCTTGAAGTTCAGGATGTTGCATTCTGTTGTCTGGTTAATTGCATCTTTAGTTACAGTTTGTCTGATTGAACAGTGCAGCGTAGTGTCCTGCCAGGGAAGGACGCCTAATGTGAAGAATTGTGAGATAAGAATATTTACAGAAGGGAAATTATAAATTCTGTGAAACATCTCTGGGCTGAAATTAATCTCTGTGACTAAAATGGACTTGTATGCGCACTTGGACTTCTTTATGTAGACCTTGCTGGAGCTTCGAGTATGTGGATATATTTGCTTTACCGATAAATACAGGCATTGAGCAGTGCAGGCCTCATAGAAGTTTTGACCAAAGCATGGACTTGTAAAGAAGATAAACTGTGCTGACAAGGTCAGAAGAATGGTACAAGATGCATAGTTCTGTAAAAGGTGATTAACTGGAATAAATTTATTAAGCATGGGTGGTAGTTTAGCACTTGCATGGTAACAGTGGAAAATGACTGCCCAGATCAGGATGTAGGTCTTGCACGAGCAAGAGGATCGTCTAAGATACAGGTGATACAGAATTCATTCAGTTTGAGAGGTTGGTAAAAATAAGTGGATTATAGAGCTAAGAAAATTTGGAAATAGGATATTTAATCTGGTGCTGCATTCATGATGCTTGTCCTTATTTTGGCGAAATGAAATCATGCCTATATCAAATGTAGTTATAAACTGAGAAGCCTAGTTTAGCTATATTTAAAGGAGGTTTGTGCCACTCCTTAGTGAATTAGAATATTTTTTCTTTTGAGCCATTCCGAATCTGAGCAAACACTATAGGCTGTATGAAATTGGAATGTTTGAAAACTTAGTGATCTGTACTTTCTTCATGTTGGACAGTGGAATTAAGTTTTATCATTGCACGGTCGTCCTCAGTCATTTATTGCCCTGCAGTTGATATGGAACCATGTATTACCTAGTCTATTCTGAGTGTAAACACTACTGCAGCTGTATTTTGCTATACTGTTTTGAATACCATCTGGCAGGGTTTGGGATCTGTAAAGAAATGCATAAAGGAAGTTAAATATGCACATATATATATATAAAAATATTAAAAACCCCACAAATAAGAGGATGGCTTTTGAGAGCTGATGCATTGGTACCATTTTGTTATTATAGTCAGTTAAACTGCTAATGAAATCAACAACTTGTGATTTGCTTACCCTTACAGCCCCAGTCAGACTTGCTAGAACTGATTCAGGTCATGATTGTTGTGTTTGGTGAGGAACCTCCAGTCTTTTCTCGGCCTACCGCTTCATCAATCTACCCACCATACCAGGCAACAGGCCCACCAACTAGTAAGTGATCATGGCTACTAATTTCTACAAATACTCACATTAAAATTCCAAGGCGTATTGTTACTCTGCATAGTTTGTCATCAAATGATGTATTCTGCTCTAGAATGACTTTCTATATTGCTGGCTAATGAATTCACCTGTGCTGTACTTGACCTTTTTGAACTATGTTGAAAGAAGGTGTGTGTTTTTTCAACTTTTGGAAGGGAGGGAAGAATCAAGCTTGTATTTAAAACAAACAAACAAACAAATAAAACCACGCGCGCCCCTGCCCCAAGCCCCTCAAAACAACCAGTATACTGCTTGTGTTTTTTATGCCCACACTCCTGTTTTATTTTTTATTATTATTTTGTAATATTTGCTGGCTGAATATGAAAAAAACGTGCCTTGTGATTTTTTTCATTCTTCTGTGTTGATTTAGTACTCTGACTTAGTACTCATTCTTATTTTCTTGCAAAAATTCTCAAGACTTTTTAAAGTCTTTTATTTATTTAAACTTTTGGAGGCATCTTATTTTAAAGACTGGGGATAGGTGGGTGGGGGAAAAAGGGGAATTGGGAAACAGAAAATCCTAGAAATTCTTCTAAAAGGAGACTGCATTGGGTGGGGAACAAAAAAAACCCAAACAGTAGAGTAGACCTACTGAAGCCAAAGACTGGGGCAGGAGGGGAGGGGGAGCACATTAGCTGCAGGTTGTTTAATGATACTGTAACAGTTCTACATTAAGTTAATGGTAGAATAGCTGTATTGGGGGTTAAATATTTTTGCTGTATTTTTAGGCTGTGTCTGTTTTCCATCGAAATGCAGCTTTCATCAGATCATAGTGTTACATCTGAAAAGCTGAAGTACTATTCATTACAATTTCCAGCGGAAATCATTTTTAACAAGGCCTTAGGTTCTTAACATGTGAGAAAAGGGGTAGCAAATATAAATGGGACCATTAGAGGTAGTTGGCTAAAGGTAAATGTTTGGGACTTTGTAGCTTGTCCAGCGCGAGCCTACCTATAAGAGCACTAGATGATTCTGCTGTTCTGATTTTCCAAGAACAGCGGGTGTCAGTACAAGTACAGTTTTAGGAGAGACTGTGACCTGTGCTGTGCTTTAAGGAAGGACCATCGATTGAAACACACTTGAGTACTCTTGTAGTCACTCAGTGCTAGCATACCTGAAGTAATTTTAGTGGAAATGTTTCAGGATTTTCACACTGTTAATAGCTACTTAGTTTTATTAGTGTCGTTGGTTTTTCCTTATTTTACAGACATTTACATTTGGGGTTTTTAAAGTTCTAGATACACTGTTTAAGAAGAAATTAAGCCCTTTTAAAAAAACTGAATCATTTGAAAGCATTCAAGGATGAAAATAGCTTGGCTTTTTTTTAAAAAAAAGGCTATTTGATGTGAGATTCCTAAATTTACTGGAAATGTGGAATAAATATATTCAAAACATAATTTTTATAATAGCATTGTCAGACTTCCAAGAAGTAACTTAAAATTACTAGGACTGTTAAAGCCTTAGGCATTTATATGTGCTGATAAAATTTTTTTCAAGTGTAACTTCTAAATGGTAGAAATTACTGGGTAAGAACATGATTGGATTGTTAAACATCTAATCAACTCTTGTGAAGTCTAGCTACTCTGAAGGTACTTAAATGATACACTCGTTATTTAGTGAGGAGAGAACAATGGCTACATTGGAAAGGTTGTTTTCATTTTTCAGCTATTATATAAAAAACAGAGACAGCTTTTCAGATGTGTCATCTTTAATAACATGCTGTTTTTTTGAGTTCCCTAGCTGTAGGTACTTTTTCTTACGTATCCACATTTTGCTTAGTACAACTACTTGTGGATTTTAAAATCAATATCCATTTTTATCCATGTAGTGGTTAAAAGTAATGATTAAGAAAGAAATAAATATGCAGTGACAGGTGTTCTAGCCAGTTGTTCTAAGGAACGTGTAATTGACTTCAGTTACAGTTCTCATACTCTCTCCAAACAAAATATTCTTGAAAATATTTTAACCAAAGTTGGTAGGTAGAGGTAGAATCTTCAGAAATGCAAGATTTGCCTGCGTTTTGTGAAAATGTGCTTGGATACAGAAAGGAAATTCTGACTGGTCAATGCATGGAGGGAAGGTCCACTGCAGTTTAGTCCTTCATGTGTTTTGAGGGGAAGCAGCTGCATTGATCAGTTGGCACAGAGATAACCGACAGCAAACATCTGCATGTGTCCCCCTTGCCAAGCTGCACGAGAGCAGCATGGGAAAGGCCTGGGAGTGCTATGAGAAGTGATGGTGTTAGAAGATGTGGGCTACATGTTATTGAGGGGTTTTGGCTGTAGAATTTCTCCTCTTACTCTTCTTGTTTCATTGTGTTACACTGTAGTCGTTGTTCAATAATATTTTGAAAAGCATCTAACTGCAGCATAAGTACATCTCACTAGTGTGACCTTAATGTTTATTAAACTTCTGAAAAGTAAAAATATACACAATCATTATTTTATTTAGCTTCCTATGTGCCGGGCATGCCAGGTGGAATATCTACCTATCCAGCAGGAAGCACTCCAAACCCGAGGTAAGAACCCCTTTAAACCATCATCATTTACATAGTAGAGTTTCACTTAATAGTATCTGGTCTTAGTTGTGTTTTCTTATGGTCTATTTGTTGTATAATTATCGTGTTAGCAGGTTTTTTTAGAAGTGAGGACTGAATTCTTGTCAATAGCCAAAAGAAAGTTTGAGAAAGGTTTAGCTTGCGTAGTGTTGCTTGCTTCAAAGACAGTATACTTGGGTGATAAATATATTTTGAAAATTATTACCTAACTCCCAGATGTCATCTTGCTTCACTCATATATTGGATTATTTTTTATAAGGTTGATATGTTTACACAATATGGAAAGAAATGTACTTCTACAAGTTGGGGGTTTTTTATTAACATTGTTAGTATTGTTTGGGGTAATTAGCAACTCAAAACATTGAACAAAAGAATTGCTGGATTAATACAAACCTTGACTCCAGCATAAATGTGGACTTAATTCAGAGCACTCTAATAGAATTTGAAGGGCACAAAATGATTTTAAAAGCTTTTTATTAATATAAAGGAAGACTTTTTCTTTAAGTATATCATGTAATAGTCGGGAATAAAGCTGTTCCAGAAGACTTGCAGTTCTGTCGTAGCAAATAGTAAGATGCTGATTGCTGCCTCCTAGTGTGTACCTACATTTTTTTCATCATAATTAATTCTTTTTATTATTAATATCCTTATGTCCTGATTTTGTCTTAGGAGCCTATGAGGAGTTGCTGTAGTATGTAACATTTTGATTTAAAAAAAAATAAAAAAAAATAAAACCCTGTAAGCATTAGGAAGGTGGGGTGTTATGTTTTAAGAAGTGAAAAATGGGGATTTTGATAAGTACTTATGGCAGTTTTTTTCCTCCTAAATATGTTTATTTAAAGTACTCTTAATGTGTGTACAAAAATGAATAATAGAAGAACTGTTTTTAAAATAATACAATTTATTAATGAACAGAAAGGTTTTAAGAACTATTAAATTTGCAATTATCAGGAGAGGCACAGAGTATGCTTATTTTATATTTTACATGTTTTCTTGGACCATTTTGTTTACTTATAGCCATGGTTAATGCTCTGCTGTATGCAGGTGTTTGTCAGTCTAGTACTGACTAATTTGAGTCCTTGTTTCAGTTGGCTGTAAATGTATTTTAGAAAGGTATTGTAGACTGCCTGTTATGTGTCATCTCGCAATTGTTCCAGTGAAAAAATTAATATTTCCTTCATCCTTCAGAGCAGGGCTGAGACTTTTTGGAGGAGCTTCATCTTGCAACCATATTTTGCACAACATTTTTAGGTTTACATAAAGTGGTTGAGCAGTCATCTTGTTAACTAGTCTCATATTAAAAATTATTAAATTGAAATTGCTGTTTGCGAGTTTGTAGCTAGAATAATTTATTTTGGATACTTCGGGGTTTTCATATGGCCAGGTAGAAATTGCATGGCAAGATGAAGAGATTGGAGAGAATTTTGAATGATCCAAATGCTTGACCAGGCAATAACTAGACAGGGTTTCAGATAAAATAGTATCTTCTTAAATTATACCAGAAATATAAATTGTGAAAGATGTTAATGTGAACAGGAAAAGAGGAAAAAGTATAACTTGGCCTGCAATTTAAACATCTTACTATGTAAACAAATGTTTAATATGGTGACATAAAGATAATATACATGGATGATATTTTACAAATAGTTAAGTAACATTGGTATTTCTTTCTTTGTTGAAGCAGCTACCCAAACTATCCTTATACGGGTGGTGTTCCATTTCCAGCAACCACTAGTGTTCAGTACTACCCTTCTCAGCCTCCTGTGACTACTGTTGGTGAGTAGCTTCGAAAGGATTTCTCTCAAGTGAAGCTTCCCTCTATAACTGATATGTAAAGAAAGAAAATGGAAAAAGAAATGTATTGTCCTTAACCTGACCTTCCAAAGTATTGATCTTCAATTAAAAAAGTTATTCAAAGGCAGAATAAAATACATTTTATGTCCTTCACCTGATATTTTATTCAGTCTGGAACTCGACAAATTCTTGGATTTGTGCAATGCATTGTGTGTGCTCTATGAATATTTTCAAGAACACTGCATGTAACTACCTAAGTTTTTTTCTTACCCTTTAACTGTAGGTGACTTTTGATTGTCTGTGTTGCTCTTTTCGTGGTTGTGGCTTATAAAAACGCTTTTGTCCTGATCATCTACTGGACTCACTTTATTTACTCCAAAATTCATAGCTATGTAAATCAGAGGTTTCCAATGTGTTTGGAATGAGCTTCATTTTTACTGAGCTGCTTCTCCAGCCTCTTCACTGGTGCTTCTTAATGGTCCCTACTTGTTACTTCCTTCTTTCTTCACTTCAGCAGCAAGATCTAGGGTATTAACGTGTATGTTTTTCCCAGTCTGCTGCTCCATGGCCCTGTGCTGGCAAAATAAACTAACTTGGTTTCCGCTCTGCACCTCACTTTTAGTGTATGTGTTACAGATTGGGATCCAGTGATAAAGGTCATCTAGTTAAGTAGGAAGTCGGTGCAGTAACTTTCCAATTGGATGACAGTCCTTTTGGAGCAGTTATATGGTAAGGACGTAGACTCTTTTGTGACTTTGTTCAGAGTATCAATCATTTGTAGTCTCTTGCACCGTAATTTAAAAGTGCATCTGTAGGTTCTTCATTTAATGTGTGAACTCCCAGTTATTTGTACACACTCTTCCCTCCAGAACTGTGTGTATTTTGAAATTTTCATTCACACAAATGGGGACAAAGCAAGTTCACAGCTTGGCAAAGGAAGATGGATGCTTCTACTTTACTCTTAAAATATCTGAGGAGTTGTTCTGTCGTTACAGAATTTGGAAACAACAATAAGTTGCATGTTGTATTCTTCTTGTGCCTGATCCCATCCTTTGTGTCCACGTTCTTTCAGCCTTCTGAATTAGAAAAGGCTTTTCTGAAAGTTGTTGGCTGTTTCAGTGGTCATCTCTGCTCTGAGGTGATGTGTCTGCCATGCACACTGCAAGAAAGCTGCTGTCCCGCTTAAGTAGTTCAAACTCAGTGTTGAGGGGCTGTAGTTTGGTCCTTGAGAACTGATGATCTCCACTGACTCTCATGTAGGGAGGTGATAAGAACCTTTCTAGGGAACATCGGCTTTCTGCAGCATCTTTCTCGAACAGATCCAGTTTTGCTGTTATGTAGTAGAGAGTTAATTTAAAATATGGATATGTCCTACTTCATTTCTTTCCCTCATTTTCATCCCCAGTGAAGATGAACAGAGGTGGAATATCTGCCAGATATCAGAGAAAGCTGTTCAATTCCTGAGTTAGATCATCTGATACCACGTTGTAATGCCAGATTTTGTAGTGGCAATTTAACATTAGACTGATTCGTTTGATGCAGCTAGGTAGAAGTCATACGCTTTAGCTCTTGTGTCAAATGAAATGCAAACATGTCTTTTTAATCATCCACTGTATTTACAGTACTGCTTGGTTTTTTTACAGTATTGTGGTTTTTTTCCTTTCAACTGCAAATGTTTATTTCCTATACAGATTGTTTGGCTATGGTTTATTGTGATAGTTTATTTAGGAGCATATCAGGTGCTACAACTTTAGAGTTTTGTGTGGGTGGTGGTGAGGTGTTTCCTATAGTGAGCTTAGTTTGAAATGAATGAAAATACTCGTTCAGAGTAGCTTAAGTTTTTAATAATAGCTGGTTTTTCAAATAGTCCTTCAGGCTTTTTCTTTCTGTTCAATCATCTGCCATTAATTACCTTTCCGATGCAGTTATTAGTTTGATGATTCTGTAAGGTCACTTCTGTAACCAGACTCTGCCTGGTAAAGGTTAAGGGTTTCAGTGCTCTGTGGATTTAATGGCTATGTGCCATAAAATCTTCCCCAAGCTGGGCTAATTATGGAAGTGACAGAAAATGCTAAGGGTTCATGCTCTTTAAGAAGATACATAAAATCTAACTGAGTTGTATTAAAATGATCCTTTATATATTCAAAGATCTTTCCTATCTGTTGGCACTTCTATGTGAACTTTCATTGTGTTAGGTGTATTGTGATTTTTTTTTTTCTCTGTCCTACTTTGCTGTATAAGTGAGTCTTGTATAAAATCTCCCAGAGTGAGGGATATCACCAAAAAAAAAAGTAGAACTGATGGCTGGTTCTGGCTTTGTGTTAGGGAATAACTCATTATGTAAAGTAAACAGTAACTGAAATCATGCTAATGCTATTCTTGAAGTGAAATTGGACCTTTTTGTTTTGATTTGGAACATGTATATTTGCAATTGTCTGCCTTAAACAGGAAGTCCTAAACAGTGAATAAACTCTGTCCCAGATAGTTTGACTGACTTGGTTTAAGTTTTCCTTTTCAGTGTAGAACGTAGGGTTCTTTACTCCTTTTCATAAGAAGCAGCAGTGATGAATTCCTGGGTTTGTGTGTATGATGCCATTTGCCAGCTTCTGTTGCTGATTCTAATAGATAGTTAACCAAATATTGAAAATTATCTCGTTGACTGGCAACAGGGTGAATTGCTTAAGCCAGAACTGTAAATCAGATCAAGTGTTGGGACATCAATATTTTCATAAGGCTATCTTTGCACCAGTTGATTAATAATTCAATCTCTTTTTTTCCAATAGTAGTTAGCTTATTTTTAAAAAATTACACATATTCTGGTGCAATTTGTATGTAAGTAAGTAAAGTGCTCATATTAGTAATTATCAAAATCTGTTGTTTTCTTAATTTTAGAAGAATTTGGTGGATTAATAAGCATGATGTGCATCTTCCCATAGTTTCTTTCGTGTCATTTGCATAGCTTTATTTTTCCAGATACCTGGCTTGGTGTAGGTTTTGTGGACAGGAATAGAGTAAGAGGCATAGGGAAGAGACACGAATTTATGCAATCTTACTCTGTTAGCAGGAGCAGTCCAAAAAATCCTCTGGATGTTTTAAGGATTCTGAGGTGTGCAGTCTTGTGAACAACAGTTTGCATTTGTTAGTATAACAATACCAACAGACACTCCAAATAGAATTTTTTTTTTTTATTTTAATGATGATGAGGCCCTAACAGAAAATTGCTAATTTTCCATTCAGATGCTTGTTCCTAAAGGCAGAGTTTAGATTTTTAAACTGTGTTCTGGATTGTTACTGATTATCAGGAAGATATCGAACCTACCCCAAGAATGCCGTAATGCTGAAATTTCACTAAACAGCCCACCCTTTTCCTGAATAACTGTAGTAAAACTATTGTAATCTTACTTCTGGCTAATTTAGTTATTGAGCACTATCAATAATGTATTCAAAAATATATTTATCACTTTTTATCTTAGCGTAATTTACTCTAAAAATACCAGTCTTTGAACTATTGTGTTTAAATGGCAAAATTAATGTATGGTTTGAGTTGCTTGTTTACTTTTGCTTCTTCTGAGGGCCTGTGATTAGTAAGAAAGGTGAAGAGGTTGATTGGATTTCAGCTGACTTGAGACACTTTTCTGAACCTTTGGGAAGGAAAAACAACATATATTCTAATGGTTTCGTCTTTAGCTATGTAAGATTCATGGGAGACTTGAATATTTTTTCACTTTGTAATTTTTTGAGATCTAGGGTACTGGGAAATACGATGCATGTAATGCTGTAACAACTTCAGGGTTTTGATAACTGTCTCTGGATAAAAAGATACTCTGGTAAAATATCCTTTCACAAATTTTCTTTCCAGTTACAGAACTTCAAATATCTCTACATTTCATCCATAGAAGTTGGAAAGTTTAGGCACAAAACCAGCTATAATTCTTGCTTTATTAGTAGGTGTTACAATCCAATTGAAATTTCACTGATCTAAAAGGTGTGAGGCACAAGCATAGGGAAGCTGTGACACTCCAGTTTTTCTCATAGAAGAATGGTTGAAGTGGGCTGTGATTAAATATGGATACAATTCTGCAACCAGTAGCCACTTCACATTCTCTAGAGTAACCCGAGTTTCCTGGTCTGCAGATAGACAGCACTTCCTGTGACAGACAGAAAGGATTTACCTTTCTATTTAAAAAGGGGTTAGTGACGGACTCTTGAAATTAGGTAATCTCACTGAAAGGCTGATTTGCAAAAGCAGTAGTAATATTCAGGTTTAAATGCGAAAGCCTCTAGTGCTTCAGAGGGAGAGGGACTAATGAAATATATTAGGGAATTTATTTTCTTCTATTGTATTTCCTAGTATTGCTGCATCGAAATGTGATTTAATAAACTGAAATTGCAAGTTGTACCTAGCAATCAAAACAATAAAAAAGGTAGTGACCTCAGTTGCTGTAACTCAGTTACATAGCAGCCTCTGTTGCTGTTTAACTGTAACATCGATCATTTATAGAAGCTAGTTATATACTACTAGAACAATATTGGTTAGTAGTTTGTTTCACTACTACTAAAATCACTACCCTGAGTTTCTGGGCACGATGGATCAAGTGAAACTGGCAAATTAGTATACCTGCAGTCAAATTGTATGTCATCATCTTTGTCTTAATGCTTACCTAAGATAGCTATGCTTGCTTTTGTTAGAATCCAATTGTATAACTAATTCTGCAGGATCTCTGTATGCTTGACTAATACTCTTCATTCAACTAACATTAAAGAAGTATTTTATCCAGAGAGAATTTTTACAGGTTCTTCATGGGTGCCGTTACCTAATTTTATAAACCATGCTCCCTGCTACCCTGCTCCAATTACAGTACCATCCTGCAGAAGTTTAAAAAAAGAAATGGTAGGCCCAGTGTAACACTGAACATGTACCTAAAAGACTGCCATCTGATTTTAGTCTGCTACAACATATCTATAAAACATATGCTAATAAGATTGGTTAGCAGTTCTCTCTCTGCTTTATAATCTTTTAATGTGTTGCTTGTTTCAGTAAGATTACCTCAATAACGACTGTTCTATATTAATGCTGATTGTTTCACTGCCCTCCCATACCTGCCCTAGGATGGCTGAATGATAATAGTTGTGAAACCAATTGGAAAGGCTAGATCATGTTGTAGCTTCTTAATCACTTGATACTGTCCAGTAATTTATCACTTAAACAGACCCTGCTATTAGATCTTCATAAATACAAAAGGGCGGCAGTTAAGATCTTTTTCACTGAAATTATTTTTGTTACCTTAGTGTTCATCTATTTTTATTAATCTTAAAACAAACAAACCAGTAATTAGCAAGCCTCAAGATAGAGTACCTATAGGAAAATTCACTGTCTCAAGCCAGCTGTTACATTAATTGTGGTTGAATGCATGTATCCATTAATTCCTATAGAGTTTACCAGAAATTTATTCTTCTTCTAAAGACTCGGACTAACAACATTTGTAGACTTCAGGGGAAATGGCCGGCCCATTTTTAAATTAAAGGAAGATTGTGGATATGGGAATAGTAAAGTGAATGAATGGATGCATACTCTTAAATTTACTTGTGTGCATCTTAATGTGTTTTATCTTCACTGCTTCTGAAAATTATTACGGAAAACAGTTTATTTTACTCTCTCATATTGCTAAAGTACATACAGCGAGATAGCCACTTTTTTTTCAGACCGGCTTTATACTGAAGCCAGTGCAGAATAGAGTGAATTTTATGCTTGTGAATTTTCTTGTGCAGGACCCAGTAGAGATGGAACCATCAGTGAGGATACCATTCGAGCTTCCCTCATTTCGGCAGTCAGTGATAAACTGAGATGGCGGATGAAAGAAGAAATGGATCGTGCACAGGCTGAACTCAATGCCTTGAAACGGACAGAAGAGGACCTGAAGAAAGGACACCAGAAACTGGAAGAGATGGTAACTCGCCTGGATCAAGAAGTGGTAAGCAGAAGTGAAACACTGCTCGGTATCAGAGTACTCCTCGTAGTAAACAGAAGCATGTAATTAATTCATTATTAAGGACGATAGAAATATCAAATCTTCCAGTGTATTGCTTTTTAAATATATATTCTCTTTCCAGATTCAGGTGCATGTGTTCAGACTGAAGCAAGTCAGAAGTAACAGTGACTGTAAAATGCATTGTCCTGCATGTATCTTACAAATGTCATTGTAGAGGAACAGTGTTATTTTCCTCCATCCTCCCTGTGAAAGACATCAGTGGTGTGAGATTATTTCATAATTGTGTCTCAGTTTCTGGATAATAATGTGTAACAGCAGCGCTGGAGAACATTTCAGTGTCTTAGTGCAGAGACACTGATTTTAGTCACAGCCTACTTGTATAACCTGCAGACTTTTCCTTTCCCAGACAAGAGTCTCTCCTACTCAGTATGCTTAGAAATTCCTGCAGTTTTTCATTAAGGCCTGACACCTCCTGCTTAGTCCATGTGCTCCTTCCATTACTGCTTGGGAGTAAGGTGTGCCCACTTTCAATGTAGTAATTCTAGTCTTTCCTGTCTCAGAAAGAAAGGACATAATAGAACTGCAGATGTCTGACGCAAAGGCAGGAAGGATGATCCAGCATATCAGACAGCTTCCATATAAGACATGACTAAGTAAGCTAGGACTTCAGTCTGGAAAAAAAGACAGTGGGGACAGAGAGAGTGGAATATGATAATGGTCTGTACTGGCTTTGAGTGATATGAGGAAAAACACAGTGGTGTGCAGTCTCTTCCAGTGTGTTAGCTGTGGGACATCAAAAATATCAGGAGGCAAATTCAAAATTAGCAAAAGTAGGTACTTCTCATACAGATGCCATTAAATTATAGTTACCGTTAGTGGGTAAAGCCAGTGTATTTTGTTTCCTGTCAATACTGTTAAGTGTTTGTGTGATTCGTACTCAGCAAACTTGTATGGGAACTTACTACAAAAAACACATTTCCACAGAAAATAATTGCTTTGCTTTTGTTAGCTAGTTTAAATGGTTATTCTTCCTTATGTGGCACCTTCAAAATACTTCAAGACCATTAGCATGCCTTCTCTACAGTTATAAATTGGTAATGGACTGACATTATCTAAAGCAGCCTTTACTTTTTTAAAATGAAAGAATCCAGAATCTATAGATTGGCAGCGCTTTCTTTTGTAAAAATCACCATAGAGATGAGTAGAGGAGTAAAGACTCAACTGGCCTGTCTAAAAATCTTTCATCTTGACAGTTGTATCACAAGAAGACATTCAGCTCTTGAGACCTAAGAAATAAGTAAACATCTTAATTGTTCTTAGGCTGAAGTTGACAAGAACATTGAACTTCTCAAGAAGAAGGATGAGGAGCTCAGTTCTGCCTTAGAGAAAATGGAAAATCAGTCAGAAAATAATGACATAGATGAAGTGATTATTCCTACGGCACCGCTTTACAAGCAGATCCTGAACTTATATGCAGAGGAAAATGCAATTGAGGACACCATCTTCTACCTTGGGGAAGCATTGAGACGTGGAGTGATAGATCTAGATGTCTTTTTAAAGGTAAGTTTCTTGGGATGTTTTGAAGATGTGCATTTTAAATGTGTTTAAATACTTTGAACTCTTTTGTTCTGTTTATTAATGTTAGTGATTTCTTCACTGAAGAGGATCCTATAAGAACATGAATACTTTTATGTTGAAACATCAGTTTTAAAAGAGGACTTTCAGAATCAAGGTAGAAGACCAATTTTAAAAGCATTACAGATAGGAAGTCATTTATCATTAGACAGGTGCATCAGTGTCAACATAAGCTTTCCATTAGGCTTGCGTCCTAATTTGGGAGAAACTAACTTTAAGGGTGATTGGAGTATTCAGACAGCTTCTCACTTGCAGTCTATGGATGCCTCTGCCGAGGCAGCCAGTGGAGTGTTAGAATCATAGAAAAAAAAAAAAAGCCAGCTAGTTTTGCGCCTCTAGCAGAGACCTCCTTAGACAATTTGTTCCTTTTCTTTGCCGTCCTTAATGCTGAAAGTTTTCATAACATCTGATCTAATAGCTTTCCTTTATTTTGAACTTACGTGCATGGTGATGGCACATCAAATAAAAACAGATCAGTTGTTATTTTGAAAAGATTAAAAATACTTTTTAACATGGAATAAAACTACACAAAATGTATATGTCAGAGTAGTTAACGTTGGCATTGGATCTGGAAAGATGAGGGTGCAGACGTGTTAATAGTCCGTACTGGGGCCACTGTGTAACAGGAGTTACCGGTCCTTCCTTTTTCTAACAGTTGAGGTTCCCTCCACGTTACCACTTAAGCTTTGCTTTTAACATCCAGTGTACAATGCACTATGTAGAGACATATTATTTCCTTCTTACGTAGCTTGCTAGTTCTGTTTATCTACCATTAAAAGAACTGTTCTCTGCCCCATGGGAAGTGCATTAGTCTGACTTCACCTTGGAGTACATATTACTACTTTTCTCTTTGATAAGAGTATGTGTAGAGTTAATAATTAAAATCACGAAAAATATACTATAGAGATTGCATTTGGTAGCCATCTGCACGTCATTGTAAGCCAAGAAAATGCTGTTTAGTAGACTAATGCATTTAGTGTTTCCAAAAAACTAACGTCCTGTTTGGGCCATGGAATGTGTCATGCTTTGAAAATTTGTATTGCAATATAATTAAGATTATATCAAAACTTTCCCAATAGCCAGCTGTTCTTATTCTTTCTTTCTGCAGCACGTACGTCTTCTGTCTCGCAAGCAGTTCCAGCTGAGGGCATTAATGCAGAAAGCAAGGAAGACTGCTGGACTCAGTGATCTCTACTAAATTCTCAGACTTTAACCGGGACGTTAGATTTCCTTATGAAGCAGCCATTCTCTTGATATTTCTCTTAATCAGTAGGTGCCCAGAATAAGTTATTACATCATTCAAGTGTAAGATATTTTGAATCAATAATATATTTTCTTTTTGGTAAAGACTAGCTTTTATTAATGCACTTTCTATCTCCTGTAATCTTTGTGCTGGTGGACTTACGCTGAATAAAACTTATTGCATACTTTCTTCCTCTACAGAACTGTGTACGATGCGCTTTCTTTACAAACAGGCCTGGCTTATACAGTGTCAGCTTAACCAGACTTTCACTTTACTTCGGAGATTTGGAAGACGTTTCAGTGTCCCAAAGGAAAAAAAATTCATGTTTGAGTGTAACTAACCTTTGTTATGACCAATGAAAGCTGGAAACTCAAAATTTCAAGGCCCTGCTGTTTGGCCTAGCTGTTGACATCCAAGGATTGTTTTCTTGAAGTGAGCTTAGTAACCGTTGTATTGACTTGCCTATTCTACCATCAGGTCATGGTGGAGCTTACCTTATGGTGCCTTAAGAAGCCTTGATGTATATTGCATTTTTCCACTAGAAAATGCTAGGAGAAGGAAAGGCTGCTACATGCTACCTGCCAGGCAGAAGACACTACGCACCAGAATGCCCCAGGAAGCCTGGGTTCTGGCTGCGTTAGCTGGGACAGAGCTCGTATCGACAAGCCTGGTGGTTAAGCACTGCGCTGCCTGCAAAAGAGGGTACGTTGTACAGAGCATCTCCCAACCTGGAGTGCTGTAGGGATTCGTGGTGCTGCTCTTGTCGCCCCTCAGCAGCATGCTGCTGTCCTCCTCCATCTGTTTTTGTAGGCTGCCTCAGCAAAGCTAGCTTGAAAACCAAAGATTCTTGGTCTCAGCGCCGTAATCATTATGGCTCAAAACTGAGCGTTTGTCTTGAGGCTTTTCATGTTATCGTTGGACCTGAAGAGATTGGAGTTCATATTAAAAAACTAGGTGAGACTTCATGTGGTAAAAATTTTAAGTAAGTCCTGTGGATCTTCTGAAAGCTTTGAAAATGGCTTCATACATCTTCCTGTCATCTGCATAAAACACTATTGCTACATGCTCTCTTTTTAGGTGCTATTTTGGTCACATGGATATAAGAGAAAGCGTTACAGTAGTTACAAGCTTTTCCTTTGTTACTCAAGTTGCTTCACAAGCACTTTCAGCTTATTCTAGAATACTTTGTTCTGAGGTATCACCAGCTGCAGTCCATATGAAAAATCTGCCCTGGACTTAATCAGGTGATCTGTTTCCATTCTTAAGCTACATGCTGCGTCCTAATGTTAGAAAAAGCTAAGAACAGGGCCTTTCCTTCTTCACTGTAATGAGGTATAATGTTTTAGAATATTAATGACAGAGAAGACAGTTAATTCATCCTTATCTAACTTACTATTGGCTTTAGGAGTAACTTTGGTTATTGTTTCTATACATGGCTGCTATTCCAGAGCAGATGTTTTTCTGTGCTTGGCAGCAAGTTGACTTTCTCTGGATGTCACGTACATGATGGTTAGATTTCTTCCAACGTGCATTTCTGTGCATACAGGTAAGGAAGACGCTTCCTTTGTTGCACTGTTTCTCCCCTCCCCTAACATAATGTCAGTAGAGCCTGTTTCTTTGCATTAAGATGGGAATCAAGTTTAACTTTGAGTATTTAAATACTGCTGGTATTGTTTTGTCATGCGTACCTCGAGGCTATTAGAAAGTTCACTATGTAAATATCTGGAGCCTACAACAGAGTAGCTACACATATGCCAACTCAAACTTCACCTGTGTAATAATGTTATGACTGAAAAAAAATAGAATTGTTTGATTCAGATGGGTGCAAGCGGAGCTGCATTTTGGAGACAAAGCCCTATAAAGAAAAACAAGGAGACAAAAATAACAGTTTGTGGTTTATTTGGTGTTGGAGCTGGTACTACAGTTGGACAGTCACTGTCTTGTTGCATACAGAAACCTAACCATTTTTTAAACATGCTCAGGAGACAAACTTACAACTAGGCTGATAGAGTACACAAAAATAAGGTTCTCTGGAAAAAAAAAAGTATACACAAAAATTCCAAAGCAGTGTTAGGAAAATACATTTGGACCTACCAACAGTGAAATATTTAAGCTATTCAGCTGGCAGAGAAGGTTGGTCAATTGGCTTGACAATCCTTTAACTGCAAGAAAATAGTCTTTGGTTTCACATTGTGTAATAGTTAGTTACTTATTGTTCTGAACCAACATTAGACAAGATGAGGAAAAGGCAAAGGGTTTTCTAGGCAGTGCTGCTTTGAATGCTGGATTTCTGTCACACCACTTCACTGTACAAGACTGACTAGGTTATCTAGCTTTGGCTAAGAACATGGGTGTCTGAACAGGGAAAACCCTAGAATAGTTTCCTAATGCTATCTTTAGGAAACTCATTTGTTCAGATTTGAGCTTTTTGTGTGTTCTAGTTGAGATAGATACACTGAAAGATTTGACCTACTTGGAAAGTGCAACGTAAGACAAACCACTAAACCCGTTAAATTGCAAAGAGGGAACTGCTTGGGCAGATTTAAAACTGTAGTTCCTTCTGGATTCCCCAGAGCGTATCTGCACTCTTCCTTAATTTGTCCTCTTCCTCAGGTTTTAGGATCATCTTCACTACATCAGTGATGCCAGTATTGCCCAGTACACAAGGAACGCTTAGGAAGACATCTTCTTTTATTCCATGCATGCCCTGAAAAGTAGGTAAGGATAGTTAGGCTAGAATTCATGTATGTCTATGTATTTTACAGCATATCCTGTCAGGAAAACTCAACTAAATTTAGTTGGAATTAAACTAGAAAGTTATTGCTGTTCTTCAGAATTCCCAAGGTTTTTAGTTCTCAGTAAGACAAAAGTTAGCAGAAAGGAGCTGCTCACCTTAACAATTGTAGAGATCGGGTGTACTCTTCTCAAATTCTTCATAATGGTTTCAGCTAGATCTGCTACAGAAAGGCCAATAGCCCATGATGTGTACCCCTTCAGTTTGATGACCTCATAGGCGCTGCAGAGACAAAGTTACTCATTAAAAGACAAGTATCATCAACTGAAATATTTAAAGTCTGTAAGAAGGGCTTTTGGAAGTGCCTTAATCAATTTGGAGGCATCAGAAGCTTGACATACTTGCTGACAGGACTGAAGTGAACTCAGCAGTGAAGAATTCTATTTGCATTTTAACACTAGTCCCCTGCAGTTATACTGAAAATTTGGAAGTTAAAGCATGCCCTAATTTGAAGTTCACTAACCATGAAAAATTAACTCTGCCAAATCTACATTACTCTTTAAAATACTATTTCAAGTTCTATTATGTCTGCATCTTGACATTTGTTTTGGGCCACTATGGTATTTATGAAACCAGATATGGATACTGCAGTTCAGAGGTATCAGAGGTACTATAGCTCTTCATCATTTGTTCTCATGTTGGGAAAAAAAAAAAAAAAGGCAAAAAAACAGTATTTACCTGTCCACCACCTGCTTATGGATCTCCTTCCAGTGCTCCTTGTCTGCATCAGTTCCTAAGTCTGGGTGAAGAGCCTTCAGGGAGACGCCAGCAACATTCACTCCACTCCAGACAGGTACTGAGAGTTGCACATAGATTAATTATCTCACAAGAACACTTAGTTTTGTCCTCCTCAAATTAACAGTTAAGATAAGATCTAGTTGGATTAATCTGCAACAGACATGTCACTACGATTTAGATACGACTTTAAATAAAGTATGACTTACGAGGCCAATCTAAATTGTGGGTTGAGCATATAGACATCTTTCTTTATATGTGATGTCACAATGTTTGACTCTACCTTTATTAAAGCAAAACACCTAGACACTATGAACTAAAATGACAGTAACTATTTTGCAAAGTTTTCTCAAAATAAGAATTTATTCCAAATGAGTCCTCCCAAGTGTCAGGAAGCAGACAGTACTGCTCTGGTGCTGCTAGAGAAAGTAGAGGTTAAGTAAGGAGAAAGTTGCTCTTTCTCCTGTCCTCTAGACTTGCCTCTGCACTTCAATTCCTATATATAGTTCTTGAAGTAATCAAGAGATGCCAGTAAAGACAACTGAGTGACTGCCAGTAGGTCTAGTGCAGATCTTTGAGCGTCCCTTGCAGAGAACTTTACCCTCTTGCTTCTTCGGTTTGCTTTTTTGGAGAGTTATGGGAACAACTTAGCCTAGAAATTTTTAACCTCCTCAGGTTACAGTAATGACCTTTTCCGAGCAGAGTAACTCAGGTCAAATATAGATCATCTAAGGTTGCAGAAGACTTAAAGCAGGACTTGCATTCTTAAGGTGCTGCAGTGCAAAGCTTTTTGAGCAATGTTTTGCTGTAGCTTTTAAGTTCTGCGTAACGGCCAGCCAGATTTCACCCTTACCACTGGAATCTCCATGCTCTCCAACAATCCATCCATGGCAGCTCAGAGGATGGATGCCCAGTCTTTCTCCCATGAGGTGGCGGAAACGGGCGGAGTCCAGATTGCAGCCACTACCAATAACACGGTGCTTAGGAAAGCCACTGATCTTCCAGGCCACATAGGTCAAAATATCCACTGTAAGCAGAACAGGGAGGATAACAAGTGCCATTCATGAGCAGTTTGATAACTAGGATGGTATCTTCCATTCATCTGTAAGGATTTTATCTGCGTGCTAGTTACATGGAATCGAGCATAAAGTAATGCCCAGTGCCAGGCCCTGCAGTGGGCTAACATAATGACTGTTTTAAAGGGAGAATTGAGAGGCTGTTTATGCTACGCATGCAATTATCAGTGTCCATTACTGTGTCCTTGCTAAAGATCACTTAAAGGGCAACTGAAGACCCAAGTTGGAGGCAGCTTGGTTTATTTCTCAGAGGACCACCTTGCTGAGTGTGGAGAGGGAAGATGACACCTCTTGCTATGTGGTTATGTGGCATAAGTATTTTCTAAAAGCCTATGCTTGGTCATATTAGTATGCTAATGCCACCTTACTGAAGAAAACACTATTCTCTAAGCCATAAATCCTCTTGTTAAGGCAACAGAAGACAAACCTGGGTTTGAGACAATAAGCAGCTTGCAGTCAGGACTGTATTTAACAACATTGGGAATGATGAATTTGAAGATATTCACGTTGCGCTGGACCAAGTTAAGGCGGCTCTCTCCTTCTTGCTGACGGGCACCAGCAGTGACGATGACCAGCTTGGAGTGTGCAGTGA